AGACCCCAATACATACAAGAGTAAAAGCAAGACCCCAAAATACAACACAGGCAATTCCAACACACTCATACTCGATGCAGAAAAGGTGGAAAGTTTTTACGCGTCTGGTCAGCGTCACCGAAGAACAAGGAGGATCTGGTGCATATGTGGAGGCAAGGACTGACAAATTACGGGCAATATTCCTACAACTGAAAAATATCTGGAACTCAAAAGAACTGTCAGCCAAGATCAGTCACAATCCTCAATACGAGCGTCAAGACAGTCCTGATGCACAGAGTTTAGAATTGGAGAACTAATACAACCACCATCAAAAAGACACAATTATTTATAAACAGTTGTCTGGTCAAGATACTCAATGTCCGCTGACCGGATATCAGTAGCGACAACCTACTATGGGAAAGAACAAACCCGCTTCCAGCTGAAAAAGAAATTAGGGAAAGACGTTGAGGATATATAGGGCATATATTGCGGAAATCATCAAACTGGATCATGAGGCAATCCCTAACACGGAATCCTGAAGGTAAAAGGAAGAGAGGAAGACCAAGTAATACACTGCTTGAGTAATCGGAGGCAAACATTATAAGAATGAATAGTAATTGAATACAAGTGGAAAGGACTGTCCATGACAGAGTTCAATGACCAATCCTGGTGGGCGATGTTATCCGTCCACGAGTGATAACAGGTGTAAGTAAGATACCTGTAAACAAATTACGAATCATCTAACAACAAGGCCTAGAATGACAATTCAATCTGTTCGAGAATGCGAGTCCGAATCCTGGATGCGCACTGATGCGGAGTCCCGTAATAGGACAAATGACCATTTAGTGCTTCCAGGTTTTTAGACCATAAAGTGAGTCAAGCTATGAGAATTCTACAATCCTCACAAATTCCCCTACGCTAAGCCATATTTGCTTGAATTATGGAGCAGATAGAACTATATGGATGATTTTGAATAATATTGTATGCAGTGGGACAAGCAACATTTTTTATCGTCAATTAGTAAATTATCGTACGATCACACATCTTCAATCATACAGTTGCCAGTTAAGGGAATATGCTAACGACTACTTTCTGACAAAGCTTTCATGTGAAAATAATTATTAAGCAGACCAGTATTTAGTACCCTCAGTGTGGTGCGACAGTATTAAAACTTGATATCAAGCTCGAGAAATGGATTCTCTTAAGCTCTCAATTTCTTAATTTATAATCCGGACATAGCTGTTGTATTACTTTTAGGACGTGACTATGATTATCGATTTGTTCCGATAAACGTATCGATCAAGATGAAAAATTATCTATTAAGAATAATTGGGTATTACTCACTGCAGCAGTGTCCACTCAAATTGGGATGAGAATTCTATTACACTGCCTGGGATTATTCTGTTTAACATGATATTGGAGCCGTAATAGTAAATACAAAATCAGAATTCTTGTCAGAGTAGACCGATAGTGTTTTTATTGAGGACAGAGATGATAAACAAGTCTTACAAGGCAACCTTCATAGTTATGTAGATCAGATTAAGAGACCATGTACGATTAAATCAAAAGATTTGATTGTGTGGCAAATTGTCTATTATAACCACTCACCATATATTTCAACTATTTTATGTCAGGCCGAACAATTTATGCTCTTAAATATTAAAAGGCGTCTAGAAAATACGACAGCCAGTTAGGGTGTACTTAGAGACCGTCAATATTTTCATCCAATCAGCGTGTAAATTAGCCTACGGTAGGTTACAGAAGTATTCGAGACCAACTTGAGGAGTTCTGCAAGTTTTTTTGTTGTGGACACTTTACAGCTTTGAAGATAATAGAGTGAAGTCTCAAAAACACAGCAGAAAAACGGCTGTTCTTACAGAAAAAGTAGAAACTTCAGACGGCGTCAAAAGAGTAAGTCTTTTGTTGGTTACAGGACTTCTCGACACATCTCATGAAAAGCGACCGAAACGATGAGACCCACTCAATCGGACTTACTGTAGAACGGGGGTGCCTTACTGCTTAATTTTAAGTAACGATCGACGTGGCAACATGTCTTAATCCAGGACCCACAAGCAACTCAAACAGTAATCCGAAAATCATGATCGAGAATTAAGTCGCCTTTCTCATCGAGTACAATCTGAGGACAAAGTTGTCGGAAGATTATTTTGAACAGAAACTAGTTTACGCGGTCATAACATGCGCCCTAGTGTAACTTGTGGAATAAGCAACTAGGCACGACCCAGATCTCATATTGACCCAATACTAATATGAAGTCACAGACCTCCATTATCTGCCACTCTCAGGTGAGTGTTACCATGAAGTCCTAATCTTCGATTTCCATATGCTTGTCTACAATGATGTGTCAGCCAAACGTCTGGAAAACAAATATACAGGAATTGTACACCTGGCAGATGGGACAACAGAATCCCTACTGAGACGGCTAGAGATATATTCTGAAATTTATACACAAAAGTCACTGAACTGAAGGACTCTTCACGGTAGTTCAGTAAGAAGAATCGCATCCTTATCTGTACAAAAACATGAGATTTAGGCTGCCCCGTGCTGACAAAAACTTCAATTTCGGTAAGCCCAAAATATTTGCACCTCGACCGTACGCCCGTCTAGAAGAGTTTGCCAAGAACTCTATAAAATACTCTAAACGCTTATACTCGAATACAAACCAAAGGACTAAGAGAAGAGACACTCGGATTACGAGTAGACACTAATACTACATCATTAGTGACGGACGATTATGGTGAAGCTCAGGTATTATATAAATTACTTTTGAGATGTGCATACTGTTGAGATGTCCTTCCCTACAGTTTCTACAAACCCCTCCACACACACTGACGATTACGGAACTCGATATTTTCGATTTGCTAAAGAAGCTTGGGACTGGAAAAATTTCGTGGAACCCAATGGAGTACATTCTATACGACTAAAGGAATTGGCAAAATTTGTCGCGAATCCATTGATCATGTTTTAGTCTATTAGTAAGCTGAAATATAGTGCCAAAAAACTGGATCAGCACTTCAAAACAGGCACGAGACACACCTGAGAACTATCGACCCATAAGGATAACCAGGGTAATTGACAAAATTCGAAAGAGGACTATTCTGAAGTTTTCCAAGCATCTAGACGAAAACCGAGTTCCTTCTAAGAATCAGCAAGGTTTTAGAACATGCTGTTTATGCCACACAAACTTACTTGTAGTTGGTGCACTCCCGAAAACCAAAAGTTACTAACCAATGCAACCGACATTGACTTTAGTAAGGCTTTTGACAAAGTTCCTCACAACTAAATGTTACCTAATTTAACAGATATCGCGATTAGAGGCAATTCTTATTTGTGGAAAAAGGACTTCCTAGTTGGGCGTCACCAGACAATATGAAGTTGTCTAGCTGTGAAACTGCTTAGAGGAGTGCCTCAAGGTAAAATTTTGGGGCATATTGTCCCTTCTGTATTTAATTGGCATTTTTCGCCTAATTTAACCTATTTTTTATATGCTGACGACTTCAAGTTGCGGAGGTCGGTAAGAATGGAAGTGTTTTTGCGGGATCTTAAAATGACCTTCGGAAGACATGTGAGTTGTCTAGTGCATTATGATGCAGTCCACCAAAGTACAAAAACATGAGATTTCTAGCTCAGGTGGATGATTTAGTTCTCTGAACTGGATGGTTTGGTTGTGGAGCTTCCATTGTTCTTCTGAACGACATCATCAGCGCAAACTACTGTGCGATAGCTGCCAAAGGTTTTAGAACCCCATGGTCAATAGGTAAAGCCGTCAAATATTTCGTTGCTTAAAAAATTTTTCACTTTGTATACGTTACCCATAAACTCGAGTACTGCATGCAATCGGCTAGCTCCTACTCAAAATGATACACGGAAGTGTTGGAGGACGTGCGAAGAGCCACAACTAGCCCGGTTCCCAGAACCGTGAAGCCCTCGTATGATAGACTGGCTAGACTAAATCTACTTTCCTTATCAAACGGACGAACCAAAGGGGACTAAACCACAGTTTTCAAACTAATTATAAACCCGAATACGACTTATTCTCATTTTCCTTGTCTCACAAAACAGACTCTACAAGGATAGTTTACAAGCCCAGAACGAATTACTTGTCAGATGACAACCAACTTTCGCATCAAATCATCAACAAATGTAGCTTACTACCTCAAAACGTGATTAAAACTCCATCTGTAGACACTTTCAAAGGAAGTTGAACCAACTGAAAGAACACCATAGGCCACACAGCTTGCTATTCCTTTCGAAATCGACACGTAGGCAAGAACTGTGATACCCTTGAAGAACCGTACTCCTGCGAAACACGACCCGTGTATTGGCTCAGACCGATTGGATTATACGGAACATAAAATAAAGGTTCTTGACTGCATGGTCACTGTACAAACGTTACGAATATTGCACGATAGAAAGGAATACATACTATAAATTTAAGAAACTGAGCTATGTTATGCAACGGAAAGGTACTAAAAAAATATTTGGGACTTGACGAGATTACCTATAATACTTTTATGTTTAGTATCGATGTAGATATGTGTGAACAAAGTGAGTCTCACCAGTAGATATCATAATAAATCAAGGTTTTGGTGAAAATCACAACGGATTGCACCAAATAGGTTATCACGAATATAACCATAAGTAAGAGCCGGAATGACGAACTTAAAACTTACTATCTAACCTCTTAAAAGTACTCCGAATTAAACTTTTAAGTCACATAAGCACTACGAGACTAAGTCGTATGTAACTGATTGCATAACTTACGGTACCTCGTCCAGTGTAAGCTGTTCCGAAGATGTACTTGCTCTCAACCACGAATCTTGCATCCAACTGTGATACTTTGGAACATAGATGCGGAGATATGGGACCATAAATAGTCGAGATGTTTCCAATACTGTTTCTTGATTTAGTCTCATCCCTAAGCAAAATGTAATTTAACAGTTAACACCCCGTTTTAACCATACATGAAAAAGTCAGAGTACCAAACACATATATTTGTACAACTAATCGGTCTTTGTTGTTCTAGTGTATATTTGTTGTGAATTGTGTTTGCAGACCATTTTTATGGAACCTAGCATGGTATTTGAGACAGTAAGAGAGAAAACATACCTCGTCGCCACAGCTCCTCGAGAGCATGACGTGCTAGTGACGCCCGAATTTTCAGCCGTTCTGACACAACAGAAGGTGTTATTACCTTGTACTGTGGGACTTCTTTCAGTAGCTTTTCAAAAGTTGCGTTATCGAACAACACCATATTAGCAAGTTTATCCCGAACTTTTCCTTTAGACCATTTTTTCTTCTTTGCTTTCCCACCACCCTCTTTGGGTTTCATGGGCTTCTTCGATGGTTCTTTCTTTCCACCTTTCGAAGCTTGCTTTGGTGGCTAAAGACATAAGTTTACGTGAATCACAACACTTACCATGTTTACAAAGCGTGGGCAAGCTAACTCGTCAAACTGGCTCCGTCAACCGCCAAACGACGATGTCAATGTACAATGTCTCAGATTTAGATTTCAGATTTGTGTAGTAAGGACAGAAGGCCTACGGCCTATGTGATTCCTTTTCTAGTATGTTTCTGTGAGTGTCCAGTCTGCTCTTGAAAGAGTCAATTGAAGGTGCGGACACCACTGCTTCAGGCAGCAGGTTCCAAGTATTGATGACGCGATGTGAAAACCTGTATGCCAACAACATTTCTCATCTAAACTTCATCAACAGGTGCATGCGGTTCTGGTCTCGTTTCAGAACAACGCCTTAGACGATCTGGCTGCATCTGACGATCGTATCTTAGAATTTACGAAATCTTTTACTACCGAGGTATTTTCGGTCAAAGAAAAGCCTCACAGGACATAACCGAGTTATGTCATACACTTACGCGTTATTTTAATCTTCGTAACGACCGTAATCGCTCACACACCTCACGTAGAAGCATTTTACGTAAGCGATCTGTCTCTAGACCACGAGAGACGTTAACTCCGACTGGTGCTGTTATCATAACCAGTATGGAAAATCTGCCAGAAATTGCAGAAAACCCTGAAATTTTTCCAACTCAAAATCGACCGACACGAAAAACAACTCGGAAAATTTCCAAGCCGGCACACATTAACGGCAACCGTAGCGGGCGAACATAGCCATGTTATGTGACAACGAGAGTTCGCTACCTCGTCGATACTGGCGCAGAAGTTAGCATTCTCCCAGCAAATCCTAACGACCGGTTTCACGAATCGGCTCTAAACTTACAGGCGGCAAACGGGAAACCTATCGCCACGCGTGGCAAAAGGTAAGTTTACCTGAACGTGGGTTTACGCAAACCCATTCACTGGATCTTCGTTGTTGCAGATGTTTCTATGCCAATCATTGGTAAGGACCTTCTACAACACCATAATCTGATCATCGATACGCGCAAACGGAGGCTAGTAGACGGAAACACTAATTTATCCGTTTGCGTAACTTCTTTTTCTGGTTGAAGATTATCCCCAGTCACAATTAAGCATACGACAGACCCACTTTATCAACCACTACTCGATAAGTATCCTAGGATTCATCAAACGCAACCGAAATTACCGTGTGTAACCAGCAACGTTACACATCACATCACGACTACAGGACCACCTGTATTCTCTAAAACACGACGACTAGCACCTGAAAAGCTAAGGTTGGCGAAAAACGAGTTCGATCACATGATAGACTTAGGAATCTTACGGCCGTCGAATAGCCCATATGCATCTCCGTTGTACATGATCCCTTAAAAGGATAGCAACGTTTGGCGTCCAACTGGTGACTATCAGCGATTGAATGCAAAAACCATTCCCGATCGTTACCCGTTGCCTCACATTCACGATTTGACAGCTACCTTGAAAGGTACAACTGTCTTTTCGAAAATCGACTTGGTTAAAGCGTATAACCAAATCCCTACGGCTACAAACGACATACCAAAAACAGCTATCATTACTCCCTTCGGACTCTATGAATTGTTGCCAATGCCGTTCGGTCTAAGAAACGCTGCGCAAACTTTCCAAAGATTCATTGACGACGTCTTTCGAGGTCTCAACTTCGTACATGCGTATGTTGATGACTGCCTGATCGCAAGTCCGGACAGAGAATCACATCTCAAGCATCTGGATCTTGTTTACGAACGATTACAAAAACATGGCATTACTGTAAACGTTCGGAAATGCCAATTCGGAACCGACTAGTTAGACTTCCTAAGACACACTATAGATGCTCAAGGCATTCGACCTCTTAGGACCAAAGTGGCGGCTATTCTGGATTACCCAGAACCGACCAACGTCAAGCAATTACGCACGTTTAACGTCCTGGTAAGTTTCTATAGACGATTCATACCGAAATGCGCTTTACTCATGAAACCGCTAACCGATCAACTTCGTGGAAATGCGAAATCCATTAATCTGGACGACACCGCATGAAAATCATTCTCCACCATTAAGGAACTCATCGCTAAAGAAACGATGCTTGCACATCAGGACACCCTGAGCACCCATTAGAATCGCAGTAGACGCATCGGACTCAGCAATTGGAGGAGTCTTACAAAAATGGGTTAACCACTCCTAGCAACCATTGGCATTTTTCTCTAGACGGTTGTTAGACACCGAATCAAGGTACAGCACTTTCGATAGGGAACTCCTAGCTATGTATTGTGCTGTACAACATTTTCAACACTACATCGAAGGTCGTGAATTCACTCTTTTCACTGACCATAAACCGCTCACATTCTCACTAAGCTCTACTTCAGACAAGTACTCTCCCCGTGAGTCTCGAAAACTGGACTACATTTCACAGTTTATTTCAGACATTCAACACATCTCTGGAGCAAACAATGTAGTTGCAAACGCCTTATGTCGCATAACTTTCTCGAACAGTTTCCAAGAAATCGACCTTCTTAAACTCGCCGAGCTTCTAAAAGAAGACACTGATCTTCAACACGAGTTATCATCAACAACCCTCAAACTACGCATCAAACAGATGAGAACACGTAAGGAAACCTTACTTTATGACACATCTACAGGTAAGGATCGCCCAATCGTGCCGAAACATTATCGACGCAACGTCTTCAATATGTTGCACAAAATTCCTCTTTCAGGCGTTCATGCAACCATCAAGCTTATAGCAGAACGGTTTTGCTGGCCTGGCATGAATAAAGACGTGAGAGAGTGGGCACGCTCCTGTGTAAGCTGCCAAAAATCTAAGGTTATCAGACACAATAAATGTCCCTTAAGCTCATTTAAAACTCCTGATGCTCGTTTCGACCATGTTCATCAGGATTTGGTAGGACCTTCACCAGATTCAAATGGATACTCCTATCTTTTAGCCTGCGTTGACCGTTTCACTCGATGGCCAGAAGCAGTACCTATCAAGGACATTACTGCTGAAACAGTGGCTCGCGCCTTCGTCGAACGATGGGTAGTAAACTTTGGCTGCCCTTCAACCATCACTACAGATCGCGGACGTCAGTTTGAATCTGAACTTTTCCGTCATCTGACCACACTTTTAGGAATCACTCGCTTCCGAACGACTGCCTAAAACGCACAAGCAAACGGGGTTGTAGAACGTTTTCAACGACAACTAAAAGCTTCACTATCAGCTGCAAACGTTTCACAGTGGACCGACGCTCTTCCACTCGTTTTACTAGGTATTCGCAATGCAGTGAAAGCTGACATTGGATACACTGTGGCTCAACCCGTCTATGGAACGACACTTCGACATCCAGGAGAATTCGTGGATTATTCATCGTATTTAGTGAACATGGATCTAATCTCCTATACGAACAGGCTTACAAAAGCAATGCGCTCAGTTAAAGCTGCCTCCCCTCGACCTCAATCAACTAATGTTTTCGTTCAACCTGTCTTACGATATAGTACGCACGTCTTCGTACGTCGAGACTCGCATCGACGACCTTTCAAATCAGCATACGAAGGACCTTTCAAAATTCTTCGACGGGAACCGAAGTACTATATAATCGATAAGAACGGAACCAACGATAGCAACAGCAACGATCGCCTCAAAGCAGCGTATTTAGAAGGAACTCCTGTCTACGTCGATTTTCCTTCAGTACAATCGAACGACACGACTACGACACCTATAATGCCTCATCCGACAAGCAACACACACGATGATACTTCGATAGTATTGTTAAACGGCGGCCTGCTTGAATATCTGGGCTACCTGTTCCTCCGATCTACATATTCCATCAAGTTATCTGTTTTGTTGTTTGTTTTAGCACATCATTATGTCTATTGTGCTCACAATCTATTCAGGCGCGTTTATGAAAAGTTTACAACCTTTCGTTATACGGGATACAAAAAGGTACAATCAGCGACATCATGGTGGCCGGTAATATGCATTGAAACGAATGAATATTAATCAAATGTGGACTACCGAACTCCTAACACCTAACTGGTCATCATTCAAAACTTTTCGTCACAATCGATCAAGATATAAGAAAAAGAAACTTGTTGAAATACTTTATGCTGAGAATTCTATGTTGTATCAAAAATATAATGTTGAATAAAGCTTCTAATAATAATAATAAAAAAAATGAACCTAAGACGACGCGTTCTGGAAGAAGGGTAAGATTTCAAGAACATTAAAATGGCTATAGCACGTAAGACACTAGTTAACATTTTGTTTCATCTCGATTTTTCATGGTATTATATATAATATAAAAAAAGTTTAATATGCTTATACTTATATATTTTTATTATTTGGCTAATATGTATATTAAAAGGATTTTTAAAAAACAAAAAAACACTTTGTAAAAATTGCTGTTGCGTTATGTACATTTTTTGCCCATTTTGTGTCCTGAAGTGCATACGAGTTTATTTCGACATGCACCTATATATTCTTTTTTTCTTTCCCAGGATGGCTGGAAAAGACGATAAAAAACGATGAGGTTTACGAGGAACCGAAATTTTCATCGTACTTTTTCTTTTTTTACTATACTGTACTTCATGGTCCTATATAGTAAGGAAAGACGACCAGACGCTGCTAAACCTAGCAAGCTATCAGAAGAGTGTTTACCAACGACAAAACTCGCTGAGCTTAAACTTCTGGCTGGCCATGTCTTAGGTTCAACACTACCTCACTAGGGGGGTGATCTGTAGCGGTAAATAAATCCTCAAAATAAATAGCTCTGTAAGTTATCGACATTAGATGCTGACCGGATTAGTTTTAGTGGACTCACCTAGCTGAAGGCGCTCGGTCATGCATCCGCGCCAGATCACGTGTGGGAACGCCGTGCTCAACATCTGCTGCAATCGCCAATCAGACTAGATCAGACAATTCCGATATATTGGCAATCGTCAAATACAAATTCTGATCTCCCCGATTCTGTCTTTTGATTTCTCTCGGTGGGTACGACTTATATTAGGTGTTACTGGTTAAAGCGCTGTCAAACACCGAATATCTG